GGGGTGGCAGGCTGAAAAACAGCAAAAAAAAAAATAAGCAATGAGCCCACGCGAGATCCCCGCAACGCGAGGTGGCCCAGAGGGCTGCAGGGTGGCCGGTGACCGGCACGGTACCGGAGGGAAAAGCCCGATTATAACACGCCTGGGGCATTGCTGGTGGGGGGGAGGTTTGGGATTTCTCCCGCCAGTAAACTGGACGGCCAGCGTGGCAGGTGGTGCAGAGTTTAGTTTTATTTCACAGACAAGTCCATCACAAATTAAATACCAGGTTTTGCTTTTTTTTTTTAAACATTGAACAAATATGTACAAAATATGAACAACGTGAGGTATAAAACCGCAAGACTTTTAAAGAAAACTAGTATGTACAGAAGCAGATATGTATACAATAGGCATCATCTTCCCACGGCTGTGTGCCTCACTTATCCCCCACAGCTCATGACAGTTTCTCTCCTGTAGCAGGACCCTATCACTCCCCGCATTTTCTTCTCAAATACGAAATCTGTAAAAAACAGCACTAGAGATTTTCAAGGAGAAAAATATGGGGGTTTTTTCCTGCAAATGGAACCATCCAGATTGCAGGGCAAAGTCCTCAAAAATCTGAGAAGGCACATTTCATCTCACGCAAGAGCAAAAATGCATCTGTCCAAAGACTCTACCTGATGAACGGAGGGACGTCTCGGTGGAGAGCACCACGGCAGGTAAAATTATAAGGCACTTGTCGGGATGGTCAAACCCCTCCCTATTTCACAGAACATGTTTCTCTGTTTGCAAAAGGCATTTAAATTAATCTATTTAAACTACATTTGTTTACACATACAAAGGGCTTAGTCCTGCAATCCATACTCAATTCCACACTAGCTAGAGAGAAGTTTTGCCTGATCACCACCAGCAGCTGATTCAGACCCCCCATGAGTAAGGACAGGGTGCAGTATAATATTCCAGTTAGAACATCGATTAATGTACAAATATATCTTACAAATAATTAAATACAAACCATGTTCCTTTAACCAAATTAGAGATCTGCCAAAAATGGACTGTTTGCGGAAAATACATCTATCTTTCTCTGCTTATTATAAAACGAGTCTATTTGGTGTCGGGTTTTCTTTCTTTCAGTGGAACGGTGAAAGTTTTCTCCTGTAGCATAATATTCTTCCAAACCAGCCCCTGGTAAAGTGCAAGCCGAGTTAGGGTCCGCTCTCCGCACGGGGCCATTAGTGGGCAGGATTGTAATAGCCTTTATCGCCTTCAATATCCACCTCTTGATCAGAGTCGTCAGAGACGTCTGACTCCAGGTCCTCCTGTGAGGCCGGCGAGGGGGTGTACTGCGAGCCGTCCAGGGAGACCTCCTTACCCTTCTGCTCGGGGGTCGGGCAGCTCTCCAGCCTTTGGTCACTGTGACTGTCAGCACCTTCCGCTTCTTCTTTTTTGGTGGCCTGGGGGTTCTCCTGCAATGAAAGAAGCCTGCTTTATGCAGAAATACGGGCCGTGGAGCCAGGAGGCCTGGGAATTGCAGCTGTGCTGGGTGGGAAAACCACCTTGGGTTTCTTGCTGGAAAGGCAGGTGTCCCGCTACCTCCCCAGGCCTCCTGCCTATAAACCTGCCTCAGTGGGATGGGGCCGGGTGAGGGCTCAGCCGCACGCAGGGGCTCGGCTCTGATCCCACTCCCCTGCAGCCACAGAGGCCACTGCCGTGAATAGGGCTCCTTGGCGATGGTTATCGCAGCCACTTCAAAAGAGTCAGGAGCTGCCAGAGCCCAGGAACCTCTGAACTTTTGTCTTTAGCAAAGCAAATGTTTATTATGAGTCTACAAACACCGACACACAGCTTCCTCCTGCCCTGATCTTTCTTTAATTACACCCAACAGCAAAAGGAGGGAGGCCGAATCTATCAGTGGCCTGAAAGCAAACGGGAAAAAATTACTAATTAAGCTAAAACTCAACATTAAAACACCCACCATTAAAAACAAACCAAACCAAAACTCCGTTTCCGAAGGCAGGAATAGCCCTGTGTCGGCAGCCGTCTGGGGAGCCCAGTCCCCTAAGGGGGCATGAAATGATACTCTTAAGAGAAAGCAGGCAGAGACACGTACCCATGATACAACCGTGCGGGCTCGGAGAAATGGATGCGACTGAATGAAAAGGAGGAAATGACTTAAAATGGCCGAGATCCCAAGCGAACTCTGCGGACACTGCGGCACGGGTCGGGCCCCGCCGAGGAGGCACCGCCGGGGACCCAGCCCGCCTCTTGCCGGAGCAAAGGAGTTTTATTCAAAAATCAACCGAAGCACGGGTTAAACCCGGGGGAAGGTCACAGAACAAATATATCTAGAGCGTGGCACTGTGATTAGTTTTCTTTTCTTATTATTTTTATATTAAAGGCGGATTTACCAGCAAAACTCGGCCGCCTATGTCACACTTACTGTAGCCACACTCGGGCCACAATGCAGGGATTTTTCACAGATCTTTGAGCCAAGGGGCCTCGATGTGGCCGAGCCGGGCAGGATCGGGCCCTCTGGGCCGTAAAAAAAGGTTTATCTGCTTCAGCACAATTTCTAAGGGAAGGGAAACCGCTGCAAGCTCTCAGCCTCATACACTGTAACTATTTGTAAACGAAAAGTAAAAGCTACTCAATTTTCCACGCGGCTCCTCAAAACAAACAAGGCGTTTGTACCTGCCTCTCCCAACGTTCGCAGAATAAATCGACTTGTGTTTATTAAGAGAGGGCGATTTAAAAGACCAGTAAATATTCTTCTCCAAAACAACTGCCCGAGTAATTTACTGACAATTACTTATCTTCTCCACGTTAATTGGCTAAACAACATATGGGTTTACAAAACAATTAGCGTGGAGTTTAATAGGCGGTGTGTGAAAGCCGGGCATAATTGATATAGGAACTACATTAGGAGCTTTTAACGTTAGTGCTGCCTGAACGAGCCCTCACGGATTCCAGCATGACTATTTGTCTTTTTAATCAAGGTGAAGAGGTTAAACAGCCTTTCAGATGACTTCTGCATACAACCTGGAATAGGCGAGCACGGCGTAAGATAAGACAATTAAAATACTTATTTCTATAGAAACGGAAACATCCCCGTACCTGCTTTAGACGCCTCCATTTGGCTCTGCGATTCTGAAACCACGTTTTGACCTGAGCAACGACAACGAGAGAAGGCACGGGGTAGTCCCGGAGCCGGTAAGCGCCAGGAGCCTTACCCGAGCCACAAACAGAAAGCAGGAGCCACCCCCCCCTCCGCTCCCCGAGCCGGCCGGGTCCCCGGAGCTGTGCGCTGACAGCAGCCGGACGGCGGGGCCGGAGCGGGGCCGGTGCCTGCCCGGGGGTGGGGTGCGGTTCACCGGGGTGCGGGCACGGCCTCACCTGCCTCTCACTGAGCTGCAGCATCTTGGCCAGGCGCTTCCTCTCCGGCGGGGAGAGGTATTTCTGCGTCTCGAACTTCTTCTCCAGCTCGATGGTCTGGTCGTTGGAGAAGCGGACCTGCCCCCCTTTCCTCTTGTGCAGCGGCCGCTGGATGAAGGGACTCCACAGCAGCGGCTTCCCTTCAAAGACAGGCACAGCGCCAAGGGTCACCGGCCGGCCGCGGACACGCGTGCCCGGGGAGCCCCGGCCCCTGCCCGAGCCCGGGCCTGGAGGCGCGCCGGGTCCAGGGCCCGCTAATTTCCTTCGCCTGATTTTATTTCCCCCAGTTCCTAGTCTGATCTTTCGCCTCCTCTGATTTTTCACCTCCGCCGAAGAGAGAGACCAGTTGAAGCCACTCTACGGGCTTTGGCAACATTTCCGTCAATGTGTTTCCTGTTGGTCTATCTCGCAAAGAAAAGAGAGAGGGAAAAAAAAAAAAAAAGACAAGACCTTTGCTTCCTTCTGCTCCGTCACTGCGATGCCCCAGAGAAACCGTCTCCTTTTCTCTGCACCAGTGCCCGGGGCCGCACGGAGAGCGGGGACGTTGCGGGGCTGGGGGATGCGCCAACCCCAGTGCACGGGCCCC